ATCGTACATTATGCCATTTTTTTTTCGTAAAAATTTAATCAATCTATAAATCAGTTTTAATATTACATTCATGTACACATATATTACATATGCTTAAAAAATCATCTTGATCATAGAGTAGGTGTATATATAAATTTAAGAATATATTATATGTATGTGATGAAACTCTCTGACAATTTAACGTTATAATATATACAAGAAATTGATGGATAATTTTCTCATGATACATATTATCTCAACGTATGTAAAAGATAATAAAATATTTTTTGTTATATAAAACTTTGTGGCATGTATATTCTTCTCCTCTTAAAGTGAGAGTGAGCAAAGAGAAATATGTATTGTACACAAATTGCGATCTTACATAAATATTAAATATATCAACAATAATGAACAATTATTTCATTATTGTCGATATTTTTCGGAGAAAGAGATTTCAAGAATAGTTGGAGCAATCTTTTGGAAAAAGAAATTGTTTCCCTTATATGTTTATACACGTAACTTGAAGTTTGATGTAAATTATACATATATCTGCGCGCGTGTGTGTGTATAACTGATAAGATATTCACATGTAACATGATTATGCAAAATCGACTCCAGTATCTAACATTTCTCGTAACATAATGGATGCCTCTTTTGGAAGAATTCTAAAAATATGATAAATTTATTACTTCTCTATTACCTCTCATAATTATAAAAATGACAAAAAAATTTACCTAAGTAAATGTCCAAGATATAGCAAGTATCCTGGCACGCTGAATTCTGCATAATTTCGGCGAACACCATTTAAAATTTTTCTAGCAGCTTCTGCAGCAGGCATTGTACCGAAATAACTTGGTAATCTAGAAAATGTGTTTTAAATATTCACAGATTAAAATAATTATGCATACGAATATATATATATATATATATATATATATATATATGAAAAAAATATTATTAAAATTAAATATATAGGATTTGAAATGTTACCTAAAACGTATATCTTTGGCAACTTCCGTTCCAATGATGAACGGATAGACATGGACTAATGTAACGATGATATTTTTACTTGAGTGGCGTAAGTCCATGAGTAAAGATTCGGCTAATCCTTGAACTGCAAATTGTGCAGTTGATAAGGGAATCCTACTTCTACCACTGGAAAGGCCAGCCACAGAAGATAAAATCGTAATGTGACCTCTACCAGCACGTTGCATACATGGCAAAACAGCATCTAACAACTAAAACAAGGCAATGATCTATTTGCTTATGAAATTTACGCTTTGTAACATTTATAAAAACAACCCTTACCCAAAAGTAACTAATGACAGACAAGTCCATTGTAGTTCTTATATCTGGTGGTTCCTCTATCAATGCACGCGGACTAGGCAATCCGCAGCAATGAAAGAGCATTGTAATATCTCCAAATTGGTCCTTTATAAGATTTACTATATCTACAACCTATTCAATTTCAATTAGTGCAATTGTACATATAATATCGTGGCTTAGAAATAGAAACACAATTGAGTGCAAGTAAATAATATAGGTACCGCAACATTGTCTCTCACATCGCATTGGTATCTTTTGCATTTCCCATGTAGCTGCAAGGCACGTTGTACGGTAGTATTGCAACTTTCAACATTAATGTCTACACAAGCAACTGTGACACCAAGCTGACATAAATGTAAAGTGAGTTCTCTACCTACTCCACTTCCTGCACCCACAACCTAAATTGCAAGATGTGTTTGTATTAAGTACAAAGATCTCTCTGTATAATATATAATAAGCAATAACTACGATATTACCATAGCAACTTCGCCATAGAGGCTTTTCAATGGTTGTGGTCTGATAATTCTATATATTGAAGTCAAGATTATGTAGCATATTCTGATAAAAAGCATCACGAGATCCATTGTTAGAACAAATACGGAATATATTCTCAACAACATTTTTGGTTGGATTGATGAGTCTTCTCGAATTTTTTTTTTCTACAAAAGCAATCAATTTTTATAAAACACATCAAACGTTCTCACATCATATGAATACTTAAAAGAAATAAAAGTGATTTCATTGATAAAAACGCACTGTAACATAGATTATTACACGTATCATCTACTCGGAATTATCTATTACATCTAACCAGATAAACTTTACGAATATCGCGTTGCGAGTTTTTAAATAAACATCGGTAACGATATGCACCTTATATCAAGCAATGTTGTAAGATTGATTGATAATGTATCAGCACCATCAAATTCTTCATTACTGTCGAAATTTTTATCGGATTTATTTACGCAGTATGAAATCTGTTTCTGTTATATATACACTTTTGGTACTTTTTCTTCATTTCGTACTTTTCTTATTTTCCCTCTAATGTCCTAAATATACATTTACTTCGTTTCAAATAGAAGAAAATACTATGGAATATCTGTTTTTTGCAACTGCACTATGTTGATTTCGTGTACTCAAAATGAAATAGATATACTTTTTGAAATTTAATAGAAGAGAGTAAGAAAAAGAAAAATAGTACAAAAGTACAGAAAGTGTAAATAAAAGGAATAGTTGTAATTCAGTAGGTTAATTTGACGACATAATTACATCTATAATAATACTTGTTTCTTTTAATGTACTTCCAATATTTTTTTGCAACTTTCCTCTCTCTCTCTCTCTCTCTCTCTCCCCCTTTCTATCTCTTGTGTCAAATCTATAACATTTCAAGTACGGTTAGAAAGGACAGATTTATCTATTTGTGGATACAAAGGTTATGTGGATGTTGCGCTTGCGCGTATCTGGTATCGTATCTGTTCCTCCATCGCAGAAAGAAGTATTGTGCAAGTGATTGTCAGTTACAAGTAGCTAGCGAGTTTGCAGAGAATTTGATAAATATGTGGTACGAAATAATTCCATCGATGGTAATAGTAGGCATGGTACCAATTGTACCTCAATTGTTTTGCTATTACCTTAACGAACTAGTGTTGGGGAACGTAAGTGTCTTTGACTTTTTACCCTAACCTAATTTAACTTGCCTATTGATTTTCATTGATCAATTTTGTTAAATGGTTTGCCGTTTCGCAAGATAGAAAATTTTATGTGTAAACACAACATTCTATAACTCAATTTATAAATAATCATAGAACCTGCTAGAATTCAAATTCAATCTTATCCTACTAATGTCATGTAATGCTTTTATGCTTGATATCATTTGTGAGGACCTAATCTAAGAGATAACTGCTTATAAAAGAAATATATGATTCAAATTGATTAATGTAAAATTCTTACATGGTTTTCTTCTCAATTTTTTTCTTTACAGCCTATGCGTAGGGACATGAGAAACATATGGGATCGTCACATGTTTACACGAGACACCCGTATAGATGGAGCACCATGGAAAAATAGGGTAATTTGTCAATGTATATCCAAAACATATTTAAAAAACATACAAGTCATATCTCTCATTCTGCTTATGTCATTGATTCGGAAGAATTTTGATACATAGCTTTGTGTATATGTTTAATTGTTCATTTACTGTGTATATTTTTACAGGGACTAGAGAATATTCCTGATGACTAAGAGAGTACAAACGTCAAATAAATAATGAATACAACATGGCAGTAATGGTGTATTGTGTAGACATTAAGTAACGGTAGATATGAGAATATATGTATCATAAGTCACCATTTCGGATAATTGTGATATATGTATATATATATACGTATATGTATATAAATATATGCATGTAATACATTAAAGTATGTCATATATTTTATCTGCAGTTTCCTATTTTTGGAAATGCCAAACTGTAATTATACATTCTGTAAGTGCTAGCGATTAAATTCATTATTTCATTAATCAGAAGCTAATATAGTGCGAAAAATCCTGTATGTTTTAAATCATACGCTTTACTATAATGCAGGCACATTGGATTAGTATTTGTAAAATTGAAAGGCAATTCAAATGTCCCCTCTGTCCCTTCTGTGTCTCAATACGTATACACCTATAACAGTTATTAAATATTTTATATTTGTTCCTTGGGTATTGAGCACATCCGCTCACCGCCTGAATTCAGTATCTGTTACGAGCAATATTTTTGTATATGTAAATAAAAGTATTTTGCATCCAAGTGTTTGCAGTGAAAAAAAAGTCAATCTTTAAACGCTATAAAAAGTTCATTTTACGAAAAACGAGAGTATCTAACGCAATTGTTCATATTTTGATAATAAGTTGAGGTGTGACTTGAATATAAATTTCAGCAAAAAAGTGAACCCGGTGTTAACGAACTATAAAGTTATATCTGCAACGAGACGTAATTCACAACGGAATAATCATGCCTGTGCATATTTTTTAAAAAGATAGCGAAAGTTGTGCAGATGGTCACCTTTATCCTCGAGTATTACTTGGCTAAGCGTTTTGCGAATACAGTGTCATATGTGTGCATATATGCGCGCGCGGTATCGACGAGTTTCTTATGGAAATTTCGATAAAAAACCTGTAATTAGCATTACTGTCGTAACGTAATGCTTTAAGCACATATCGAGTTAACACAGGGATTTAGGCAAATAACAAGGTACCCGACCGTATTTAGGACGATTCAGGCACTTGACGGGCTTCATCGAGATGTTTGAGAGATGCTAAAGCGTAATTAATATTGACTCGGAATATCACGTTTACACGATACTCTCGATGCACTCATGCGATATGTTCATATTTATTCGTTGCAAATTCAACCGTTTGGCATACATCCATATTTACGTGTTAACAGTTCGTACGACAATATTTCGTGTCAGGCAATGTTCGCTCGACGAATTATAGCTTACATATACATCACATGCCATTTGCAAATTGCGATTCACGTGCGAATAAGAAGCTTCAAGAAATTGTATAGGAAAATGACTTTAATTTTATAAACATGTAATGTATAAAAATGTTTCTCATCTTGAAAGTGTATGATTGTGTTGAAAACTAAAATATTGATAAACAAGCGTGTGAAATTGTCGTCAAGAAGCTGTCGTTCGGGCGATTTTTGAAGGCTTCTCGTTTTAACTTGTAGACCGTAACTTTCCGAGAGTTACCTTTGGACGCCACTTCTTCGAAGATAGAAATGATGAGCATATGTTTTAAAAATGTAGAAAAATCTCTCTTCAAAAAGACCGCGCGCAGTAAACAATGCGCCGAGAAAAAACTTTTCAGCCCGCGATATTTAGTGTTTTATTTTGGACGTAGCTTCGCGTTGTAAATATGTATGGGAGTAAGCTAAATGGGAAGGTAGATATCGCAGTAAATGCGTGAGTGACGTGTCCCTCGGTATTCACTATTTGAGCAACAAGTGTGCCAGTGAAGGGGCCAGCTACACACTTCGTTGCGATAAACTTTGACACGAGGCCTCTGGATTGACGCGGTATAATCGTCGAAAGGAGAGAGTTTGTTAAAGCGGAAAACAATTGAGAAATTTGTCGAAAATCACAGCACAGTCGTTGGCGAACGGAACCTTGCAGTAAGGAAACTTTCGGCAGCGCGTTTGGGTGAAAAATTAATATCCTCCAAGTAGCCGCTGCTGTGTTATATTACCTTATATACGTATATATTGGTTTAGATACGCGAAATGAAAAGACTGTCGGAAATAACCGACAACGAAGGGTATTCTCCTGTCGGGGAATTCTTATTTCTTTGCGTGCGTATTAAAGCGCGTTTCATTTTCTCGGCACGTTCGATAGGCGGAGACTGAAATTTTCACCGCTCCAGGTAAACGCCAAGTTCCAGGTGTGCGGAACGACGCCTGGTCGAAGCCCAATAAGCTGGTCTTTGTTGTATTACTCCACGGAAACGTACAAGGGGATGATTTTTTCGACGTATAAACGTTTCAATGATCCGTATTAAATTTCCGTGCAATTTCCACTGAATCATCATCTCTCCGCGCGAAACTATCGGCGATATTTAGGTCGGCTAAACGGAAACCCATTGTGTCGATTAATACAAAAATCTGCGAATTTCCAAAAGTACGCGACAATTCCCCAATGTTTTTCGATATGGAGTCGCGCCTACACCATTGTAGTAACGACAACGCGCTGCAAGCCTGAAAAGAGGTTAAAAAAAATCAATTGCAATTACAAAGGTTAGAAGCTCGTGTAAAGGACCCTCTCCCGAAAGAATGTATTATTCATGCCTCTGTGCGAAACCCTCCAAGTCCCCGCGTTCGACTCGTCATATAGACGAGAATTTATGATCTTTCGACAAGTATCGAAAAAAATGATCGTATAGTAAATCGATTGCCTTAATCGCGCTAATGTCCAATATTTTCAATCAAGCAGCCTCGACCATCCGTCGTGAGGAATTGTCGTCGTGGTTTCAGTTGAAGCCATGACAGTTTGCGCGAAAGAAAAATCGATTCCGCCAACCAACTCTTTACTGCCCAGTTATTAGTATCCATTATTTCTCCGATACTCTTTTCGTCCGTAAAACGCTCCGCTCATATCTGCGAATATCTCTACAGCCACGTAATCTTTCTCAATTATTATTAACGACATAATAAAATATGATGACTTATACACGGTGGCTTTCGGCAACAATACGCGGCTCATAGGAAAAGCGTAAATCCTGCTTTCGCTTGTACCCTATAAATCACAAGAGAGTGCACAATACCTGAGTAAAATCGACGGAACGTCCCGCGCGTTGCAACATTAATCTCAGGCTGCGATAAAGCGACATTGCCTCGCGAGAGAACTCGGCAAGCGCGAATTTTACGGAAATCGCGATTCAACCTCGGAGCGTCTCGATCAACTTTACGTTATTTCTGCCTCGGGAAATGGAATTTATCGATTCGCGAGTTCATCTGAACGCGCGTCTCTTCCTCTCTCTTTCTTGTATTGATAGGCGTGTCGTCTTAATCTTTTGCGCTCTAAATTACATTCACCGGCTGGTTCGTATTTACTCGGTGTTACATAATCTCTCTTTGCTGTAACGATTCTGTATTTTCCGAATGCGATAACCTACTCACAGTAATGTATTCATATTTATTAATATATTCGTGTAAAGAGAAGTGTGGTTTGACTTTGCGCATAATTTTACGCGAGAATGTTGTAAAATCCGTATCTCTGCTTGGCGAATCCCACGAATGTTCAAAGATTTATATTCAGGGATAAATTTTCGAGAGATTTCCATGCCGATTTTTTACGTAACCTTTCCATCTCAATTATAACTGAGAGAGATATCAATATCCTCGTCATGTATAGAAAATCAAAGTAAAGAAAGGATTTCTCAATATCACACAGTGTTATCGATATCTCTCTCCGGCCTCTTTTGATCGTTCGGAAGGTTCATCGAAACCTCGGCATTAAAGTGCCTTCATTGTTAATTCCAAATCGAGAAAATCATGGCCGGGGCATCGAGTATGCTCCCGTATACTGTGTAAAGTTGCTCGACCTGCTTCTCCAACTTGGCGGCCAGCTTTTGCCGTTACTTTCCAACGTAAATGAACGCCTGTCTCTTTTAGTGTTGTTTAAACGACTCGCGCGAACGACAAAATTAACGGACACGAAAGAACATGTAAATTCCGAATGTTTCGAATGTTCGCGAGTAAAGCAATACCCGTGGTAGTCGTTTTACTATGCGAGGACATTGGATAATTGGACATTTGTCTGAAATTTATCCAGAAGGTAATCCGTTTCAACGACATTTTTTTTCCCCTGCGAATCTTTCGCTTTTAATGACGTTGTAAAACGCGCGTTAAAAAGCAGCCGAGATCTGTTGGAAATGCAAAGTTATGCAACGGTGAATAGTGAATAGTAAAAAAAATCTCTTCTTCTTAAATTTAGAATTGACATTCGATATGCAAAAAGGAAATGAGTCATTCCTTACACGACATTTTAAAACGGGCTGGAAAAATAATATTAATACGGATTATATAACGACGATGTATAATCGCTTCTGAAATAGATATTTTTTGGAGCAACGATACAAAACAAATAAAATCGGATATATTTATGCTGCTCGATTAAAGTTGAGCATTTTTTAGAAGTACAGCCAACTTTCAGTTTGCGAGCGCGAAAGCGAGAACGTAGATCCGAGATGGATAGTGCCATCTTTGAAATCCATTTTCACGGATAAATGAAAACTTGCTGAAGTTACATCTCGTGCCACTTTGCATACATCTGAAAAGTTTCATGGAAATTAAAATTTCCTCGACAGCCAGTTCTACCGCGAAATTTCAATTGGCTCGCCGGAAACGCAGTTTCGGCTCTCGCGCTTTAATTAATGCGGCGAATCAAGATCGTATTATTAATGGATACCCCTTTACACCATTTTAAATTGTATTGTTAGGTGATGTATAGCGTATTATTATCCGTTATGAATTTTACGGAAGATTTATGAAAACATTCCTTCAACAATTAATCGCTACGTATGTAAAAGATATCATCGTGATCCATGCTCTATGATTAATATTGGCGATAATTTGATGGTGTTAATAATGTTATGACAAGAAGGAATAAAGTGAAATGTTACAAGATCTACGCGCGAGTATAAAATGCATGAAAATTGAAGAAAGAAAGAAAAAGTTCGTTAGAAAAAATGCAAAAATAAGTTTTCATTTTATCAATTTAACGTGTGAGATGTGGTAAAAGAGTAATCTCTAAAGGGATTTTATCTAAACAAAAATTTGAAAAAGACGGTCTCAATCTTACCGAGATATTTAACAAGATAAATTGTATAAGCGAGTATTAAATTTTTCTTTTTTTTTTTTTAATAAATTTGTGTCAAGAAAATATTTCAATTCGAATTCTTTAATTTCATGACCTAACCTGCGAATAGTAGCTACAGTACAGTGAGTATATCTTTTTTCGGAGCAACCATATTTTTCGGTAGCAAAATAAACAAAAACTTCTTACAGATATAAATCCATCTCTCTCCGGTTTTATGGTTGCTTTCGACTCGAATTTCGTTTACCGAAAAATCGTTGCTGACAGTCAACAAGGGGGAAACAGTGCTGCTGCACTTTACGATCGCAAAATCTGTAAACATACCTCATTTGACCTACATAATCTTAGAAGACACAGTTTGTACTTGTCTGGAAGCTAATCTGACGGATAATCGGGAAGCAAAGAGAGTGGCTTTTCGACAAGTTAATTTTTGTAGGATTGCATTAATCAGAACGTACTTCTTTCCGTTCGTTACTAAACAACGAACGCGAAGAGATCGACGAACAGAGGGTAGAGAAAGAGACGAACAATCTGGAAGGACGCGCGATGAGAGGGTCCCAGCGGTGGCCTCGATACCAAGGGGTGAAGAGCGCGCGTAGCGGCGAGTCGCGCAGTTGAACGCGGGACTTCGTCGGGGCAACTTCAGGCGGGCGAACGTTCGTTCGTTCGTTTCTATTCGCCGAGCTTCATCGTCTCGCTGTTCTTTCTCCGCGACGAGATCGGGAGGTAAACAGTGCGCGCGTCGTATCGTGCGAGGAAGGTCGCGCAGCTTTGCGCGAGATTCCGCGAGTGACACGTTTCATCAGCGGTAGGTGAATCGTGTTTTTCTCGTAGCGAACCATTCATCTCGGCTGGGAATAGTGACGGCGGCGATTTAACCTCTTCCTCCACGAATCGTCGGTGTGTATGCGACGTATCCTTTTGTGAATGCCGCTCGTTGAAATTTCGCCTCGGTTCGGTGATTTCAAGAAGTTTCGTTTCGCAAAGCGTTTTGACCAATCTTTTTTGCAAAGCACCGACAACTTGTACGAAATATATTCCAGACAGACTTTATCACCCAAGTCATCTGAGAACCTGACTCAACCGTTCTCTTTATATAACGAGAGATTGATTCGCGATTATCGGCTTGGCACGAAGCCAATTCTCGCAAATCGATCGATTTCTGATCGCAAACTTTGGCCGAGAATCAGTTTTCGCCGGTGGATATATCAATCGGCCTGAAATCGATTACGAAATTTCGCGGGAATTTAATTTTCAACTTCTCGCGTTCGTAAGCTGCAGTCGGGCAACTCTTCTCTGGGTTTCGTTTCCGTAAACTCGGCGTTGCCAACTTTCCTTCCCGGGAAAACAAAATTTGCTTCTCGGGCGTCTTTTCGAATAAAATCGTCCGGGAGATATTTCCAGTGAGTGTAGTGAATCTTTCTCGGTAAATAAAGGTCTCGAAGAAAACATCACTTTTGTAAAGAGAATGATATCGGTAGAAAAACACTAAACTCGGTGGGCTGAGCGTCCTTTTTTACGACGTCTGCCCTTGAACAGGTTCAGGAAGAGGGATCGCGCGAGCTACAGGACGATTCACCGTTCGGTGGCGCGCGTGACGCATGTTCCCGTTCGCTCGCTCGTTCGCTCACTCTACGAGGAAAAGTCTCAGTGACGACAACAGTGCGTTCTAAGAATTTCTCACCGATGGTGTGCGCGTGATATCTGGAAAATTACAATGGTGAAATCGCGCGGGATCGGTGGCAGCCTGTAGCTCGACAGCTGCTGTTCATGTAAAACCAGCAGCGAGCTAACCAGTCGGACCGGTGCGTTGTTTCGGTTCTCTTCACGGCCATAACGGACCATGCGGCCCTTTGGAATTTCCTGGAAACGATGGCCTGCCAGCGGAATAGGTCAGTGTCCTAACAAAGATCTAGCCGCCATTTTTTCCGATGGATTTCACATCGCGCCCGAAATTTTCGGATGAACGATTTCTTCGTAAATAGGCTAGTTATCGCGTGAACTACACGGTGTTATTACATTATTTGCCAATTATTGCACGTATTGATAACGAAAAATCAAATCGACTTACCTCGAACATCCCTGCGTACGCGGTAATTTTATCGTATTTGGAGAGATTACACGGTGACCTTCGCCGGTAACATAGTATGACAATACGTTGCTGAATTAGGAGTCGTTTTGAGATTCAAATAAGATGTTGACGTAAGTACTTTCCGAGATATTTATAACCAGATGAATAACTGATACTGGATCGTTTGTAAATACGCGCGTGAACATCTGTGCTGCGGATGCATGTCATAAATAATAAATAGATTAAACGCGTACGTATGCACAATTGGAAATGATTCTATGCACTGTTAGAAATTGTGTTTGCCTGGTGATGGTTAAGAAATGATAAATTAATCAATTTTTCAAATGTACGAATCAAGTGTACAAATTACGTTGAGAAATCAACGAAATGAGATTCGAGTCCAAATCTTGCACACACACACACACACACATACGTACGTTTAACTGAATTTTATGAATCTCTGTTTCTTCCGAACAAATTCTTTCAAACAGATAGGATGAAAGCATGCGTCTCTTGAAGAGATAAGAAAAATAGTGTGCAACGTGTACAACTCGTATGATTAAATGGAAATTCAGGATCGCTGTCTTCACCGCTGATAAATCGCGTCTTCGGAATGAGGCTGGCGAAACTCAGAAATGTGCCAGTACTCTAAAACCGGAACATTTGACGAACAATTCACGAGAGCAATTAATAATACAGTGAAATCTCGATTATACTGCTGAAAGATGGTACACGACTTTTGGCAGTATGATTTTATCACATATCTTGTAACAGTGATGCATAAATTGATAAAACATGGGATAATATTTTTTCGAAATATATCCGTTGCCGATAGCTCGATAACGTTACCTCTAAAAATAAATCAATCTCAAAAACTGGAAGGGAGGGGGATATATTCTTGTATTTTGTAGTACAACAGCTTGTGCTGACGCACTCTTTGTGAGATCATTATTTCCCCCCCCCCCCCCCNGGTATTACAGAAACGAATGTACTTGAATTCCGATGATTTCGTAAACTGAATGTTCCGACACACGATCTTATTCCGGAGATACGAAATACCTGGAATTGTTTTCACCGGTGTAACAAGATTGCGTCAACCGTTGCGTATCTCTATCGCGAAGTCGATGGAAGTGCGCCGAGATGACGTGCCTGCCGACTTCGGAGCGAAGTTACGTTGTAATCTTCTTACACTGTGGAAACGTCGAAACTTGAACGCGTCGGTCGCGTCAATAAACCATTAGCACGAACATAAACTAAAAGCTGCACGGCAACGTTGGGTTTTTTCACCTGAATTCGTGCTCAAGAGAAAAATCCGACTTTCGCGACGAAACTTGGTCGCTTGAATTATTTAATACAATTAGCGACAGCCGGGCTATACTTTACGCGAAACGTATTTTATTTATAAGCCGCGTCATTGCATTATATCTATGATTCATGACGAATCTTCTTTACTTATTTATAGCAATTTAGTTAAATCACTTTCTAATCATCAAGTTAATTTTCATTACATTAGATATAAATACAGGGTGATCAAGTGATATATGTTTCTCCTAAAGATGGTCTACCCTCAGTTCCAATTTTGGATTTGAATTTAACGAACAGGTCTGGGAAGGTATGAATTTAACATATTACTATATTGGCAACTCAATTTTTCTCCAGTCAATTCTAACGAAATGTTTTTTTTTTTCGATTTTTACTTTAAATTTCAACAGCTCAAGGAGAAAAACAACGATGATAGCAAAATAGCGAAGATGTGATTTTTGAAATAGTGTGTCTGAGTTAATCGTTCAATCGATCTAGTATATTTATTTTGTTACTATTCCTTGAAAAGTGTCACGATGGACTACTGTCGCGAAATTGGTTATTCGCCGCGCAGAAAATTGGAAAAGCTACGATCCGGCACTGTGCAGCCATAAAATCGCGAACGTTAAACAGAACGGTCATTTCGTGACAATTTCTTTTTACTAGCGAGCGGTCGTGTTATTCGTTAATATTTCTTGCGAAAACACACAGCGTGCGCTTATAATTAGAAAAAGGGCTAAGGATTTCCTAACGCGATTTTTCGCTTGCCGAATGACCTTTCGTTGTATGTGGAAAGACGGGGTCATGCGCCGCTAGGAACAATTTCTACGTTCGCGTAATTGATAGATAATACAGGTAATGCATGATAATTAAAGCTTACTTCGTTGCGTCACGGTTAAATGTGACGATCCTTGCGCGTTGCCTAGTTTTCTGGGCATGAACAACCATAAAACGCGACGGAAATTAATCGACACATCTTATTGTGGCTTTTGATGCATTTAATGCTTTCGTAATGTCTCTTTTCTACCCGTTTATTTTATCATTTCAATTTGGTCCTCCTTCAGGATAAAAATGTAATTATTTACAAATTTTGCAATCGCAAAACTTTATCTTTGCTTTTGTTCGAAATGACACAATTTGGGAACTACAGCAAAGATATAACATGTCAGTAATACGATGTTTAACGTACGATCGAATATGTTAATTAGATAGCGATAAAAGTTTTGAAATGGATGAAATATCTCGTGCAAGTAACGTACATTTTACGTAATAAGTAAGGAAATGTCGGGAAATTATGGCGAAATCAGATATACCATTAAATAGCGAATCGCTCAAATTTTCATTTGATTAGTGTTCTCATGTTTTTTTTTTTTTTTTTTTTTTTTAATATGCTGTTATTAAGATATTACTGTCAAGGTTACACGTGAAGAATACAGAGAGTTGGAACCGAGTATCAAAAGTTCGATGAAATGAAATAAAGAAATGTCATTCGGAAAGTCTTTAGTAGCAAGCGTGGTGCTGAATGTCCAACCCTTGTTGGAAAATTTTATTTTTCTTTTTTTCCATATTCCAAAAGTCTGAAGTCCTAAGAATACACTCGTGAAGTTGTAAGTGTAAATATTTGTCAGAGTTACAGGACGTAAACCGGCGCACAGGTAGAAAACGAAACGTGCGCGTCGTTGCTCCAGTATATTCTATCTCGGCTTAAAACGAATAGCTGTCTTTTCTTCCGACCACACACATGTATGTATGTGTGTGCACACAGGATGATTTATTTAGGTAAGACGGTGATCTTAACTTCGTTGTACGGTCAACGTTTTCAACATTGACGCCACCCCGTGAGCAGAAACGACCGGCCGGTTAAAAGAATTGCATTCAGCTGAAATTCGAATGCTCGCTCACAGAGGCAACGTGTTAACGCGTCGAAATCGCGTCACGGTCATCGCGTCATCTCGCTTGCGAGCGACTCCTGTTCGCGCGGCGTCGTTTGCTTTTCCGTTCACGAACGAGCGCGGCGGCAATAATTGCTTTCGCCGTATTGTGCAACGCGATCGTTTCTCTTATCGAAGGTTTTCTTTGAGGGAACGTTCTAGGAGCGGCTCTTTGTGGGTTACCGTGGAACGTATACGAGTTGTGTCTTAATGCCGAGTTCCACTTCGACGTTTTTCCATTTCACCGAGACTGTTATACGCCGCGAAATATCGCGCGTTCTCCGTGCACATTTTCTTCGGTGTTTAATTATTTTCGGCGCTAAAACATTCTCGAGGCTTACCGAGAATCCCGCGTGTATTATCACCCTTTTCGCTGAAAGGGATAAGCGCCGAAGTGTTCAGGTCAGAATTCTACACAAATATAGAGGTGATTTTGGTTTCAGTCGACTTGACGAAGAATATTCGATACATCGCACGATAGTTTCGTAAATATCGCTGTAATGAAGCATCTCTGCACGTTAGCACTTTGTAACTCGGGCGTGCGTACGAAGGAATTTTTTTCATCGTTCCGATGAGGGTGTGAACAACGGGTCGCGCGCGAGCTACGCTTTAGGGACGTACACAGGTAGATCGTCGGCGGGCGAAGTTAGCCGCAAAATCTCCGCCGGTTTAATTTAACTTTTCTTCAGTGGGCGCGCGCTAACGAACAAATTAAGCCCCAGTTTGCATGCGATCCTACTCTCTCCGACTTTCTTTTTCATTTTTCTCGCGAAATACCTGTAATCTGCGCGAGCATGTCACTTAACGTGTCATTTGGCGCGCTATCGGGATACGATATCACCCGTATCTGATCGTATCTCGGTCTCTTTATTATTTTCTTATGAAATCGATAAAGCGATGAAAAGTCCGACCGGAAGAACCCCACGCGGGGTCACTCTCCCCCTACTCAATAAATGAGTTATTCGGTACTCGGTGAATAATAGGACGTATCGCGGGATTCAGATAACGCACCGAATATGACGAATCGAAGCAAAATTATCGTATTCACTTTTTAACGCGAAAATCGCTCGCATCCTGATCGTCGGAATTTTCACAATCGTCGATGCATTTTTTCCCCTCGCGGACATACACCTCTTCTTTGTTGTACGATGAAATACTAGTTAGAAACTAATTTGGCGATATGCAGCGAGGAGAAACCGAATCACTTTTAACACGGAAATTTGAATCTAATGGAGACGAGAGGACGTCTCTCTCTCCCTTTACTCGAAATTTTACTCCTCAGTTTTATCTGTTGAACAAACGAGGCGGAAACTAGACCGTTGTCTACGTGCCGTTAGTAGGTAAATTATTGAAACGCGGCGCGAGGTCTACCATAATTTTTATTTAATTGGCGATTACTCATCGACGCATTTTTATTGATTCTTGTAGTAAAAAAGGAGGAAAAAAATTGGGAGAAAATAGCGAAAGAGAATGCGATCGAGTTCTACATCCAGTTGTAGCATCCTGTGAATTTAATCTTTTATTATTATCTCAGCGAGGAATTTAATTAATCCGTTTGCAATCAATGGATAAAAATTTGTATACTTCG